GCTACTGGTACAGCTCCTGGTACTAAATCAATTCGGAACTCAATGACTCTATCTGGCGGTAATCCAGATAAGTCTTCTGGAAAGACTTCTGGATATTCACTAATAATCGGAATTGATTTTTCTTTTCTCTTTTCTTTCTTCAGATCAATTACATATGCCAAACATCTTTGGCACTTCTTCCGAATACTTTTATGGGCTTTTATTACTGACAAAATACTGGTATGATGATTCTGACGATCACCATAAATAACAACTGTTCTCTGGTCTGGCAGAATAATTCTGATTATTTTCTGATTACAAACAATGCTAGCCCGATACTTTGCCAACCAGTCCATACTCACTACTATGTCAAATTCTTTCATTAGCATAGGAAATAACCGGATCGAAAGTTCACAGTCCTCAATAACAATAATACAGTTATTGTACACACTAGTAACAATTTTCTGACTATTAGCAGTATTAACTACTAGTTATTGTACACACTAGTAACAGTTTTCTGACTATTAACAGTATTAACTACTAGTTATTGTACACACTAGTAACAGTTTTCTGACTATTAGCAGTATTAACTACTAACTCATCATCAAGTAGCACAGAATTCAAACATGCAGTTTGAGCAAACAATGGAGATACAAACAAAAAGTTTGCACCAGAGTCAAATAACACCTTAGCACGTATTGAATTCAGAAGAAATGTACCTGTTACTACATCCGGTGATGCTTCTGCCTCATTCTTAGTCATCTGGAAGGATCGTCCCCGCGCCCCTCTTTGCCTTCCTCTATTCACAGTAGGTCTTCCCTGTGTACCGGACGCATTACTCCCCATTGTTAACTGTGGAGTTCTCAACAAGGGACAATTTGGTCGAATATGATCCGAAGAATTGCAATTAAAACATCTTCTGTTAGTTGGGCAGTTTCTAGACAGATGACCTGCTTCTTCGCACTTATAACATTTCCTTGGGTCCATCTTGTATTCACCCTGATGAACTTGTCGGCACTGTGAGCAGACTTTCTCACTAATCTTTTGCTCAGATCTGTTATCATATCTAACAGTTTTCAGCCCTCGAAAAGATGAAGGTCCCCCCCCCATTTTCTTTTCTCCATAACCTTTTCTTCTGATTGTCTATTCTTATTTCGTTCGGTCACCTCAGCTGCATCTACTGTTAGTGGAAAGGTATTGGGGTTCATAGCAATAACAAACTCTCTAATTAAGGATTTCAAACCCCAAATATACCTCTCTATTTTCCTGGATTCAGTCAAAACATAATGTTCAGCAAAGCGAGAGTATTCAATGAATCTTTTAGTATACTCCCGAACCGTTCCTGTTAGGACTGAAAATCAGTATTAATTGTATTCGTCTTAAAAGTTAAATATAGTCTATAATTGTAAAAGTCAGCGTGTTTGACTTTCTTATAGGAGTTTGACTTTGATTTGTCTTTAATAGTTTGACCATATAAATATGGTTTGTCTTTGTAATTAGAAGGAGGAGAGCTTATTTGTAAATCAATACGTAAAGAAAGGTTTGACCATATTGAAAGATCTTGACTTTCTCTCTCAATGTTCATGTGATGTTCTTGAATGCTATATCCTAATCTGCCATTGTTAT